GCACTTCTAAATGGCCGCACGGCAGTGAGGCAGAGCCCCAAGCACACGTTGCGGCAGCGCTCGGGCCTCTGCTGGGAGGACCTTCCTGATTAAACAGCCTGCGCCTCTCCCAGCTACATGGTGTTCCTGCCGCGATGAGGAGGTGGTGAGGTGATGGTTTCATCTTCTGTATGTGCCTAAGTTGTGTGACATGTTTTGTAGTCTTCTATAACTGATGGAATTATTCTGCGTTTCTGTAGAGAGTATTACTGGAAGCTGTAGTCTCCTATAGCCATTACTATTCTGCATTTCTGTGGAAAATATTGCTGGAAGTTGTAGTCTCCTATAGCCGTTACCATTCTGCGTTTCTGTAGAGAATAATGCTGGAAGTTGTAGTGACCTATAGCCATTACCATTCTGCGTTTCTGTAGAGAGTAATGCTGGAAGTTGTAGTCTCCTACAGCCGTTATTATTTTGCATTTCTTTAGAAAGTATTGCTGGGAGTTGTAGTTCTCTATATCCGTTACCATTCTGCATTTTTGTAGAGAATATTGCTGGAAGTTGAAGTCCCCTATAGCCATTGCCATTCTGCGTTTCTGCATTTCGGTATAAAGTACTGCTGGGAGTTGTAGTCCTTTATACAGAAATGCAGAATGGTAACGGCTTTAGGTGGGCAGGGCGAGGATCTTGCACCAGGGCCCATTGTTCCATAGGTCCGCCACTGAATATGGCAACTCAACGACGAGAGATAATTCATCTTTTAATGATCTAATTGAAGTCTTGTTACAGGTTACTGCCTGGCACAGTTTTATTTAATTAAAAAAAAAATCTTAATTTATATTAGTTTTTATACAAATCTTAATTTTCTTAGTATATCTTAGTTTTTATACACCTCCACCAAACCCTGTATGAAACTAACGGACTAGAATCTTGTGGCCATGCTACAGTGTCTCCTTTCATGTATTTTTGCCTTACCAAGATCTTACTAAGATGCATTCTCTTCCTGCGATACATTATACTTAATATGTGCTGCCTTCAGTTTACAAGTAAACAATGCTTTAACAGTGAAGGAGAGATAATATAAACAGGGCTGCCTGCCTTGTGCATTACATTTACTTTAAAAATTAAAAGCATATAAAAGTTATACACATGCCAGCATTTAGAGATCCATGCATTCAGTCTATCAACTTCCTTAGGAGCTTACTGCTTACATGACACCACTGCCTTTTATATCCATTCTGTGCATTTAACTGTTTAACGTCCTATCTATGCAGCACAAAATACTTCTACTTCTTTCTACTACCACATTGTAAGTATCAAAATTGTACATACATGCAATCCACTTATGATTATAGCATACACAAACTGTACAATAAATATAAATCCCTGCAGTTCCGGGAGAGAGGAGGGGACCCGGCGGCATACCTTATCCCGCAGGGTGAGTGTTCCATCCTCTCTCTACCGGCGTTCATCACCAAGGTGGCTGCTGGCAGGTCTCAATAAGATTGACGTGCATGCGGGGGTGTCACCCGGTAACCGGTCAGGGTGTCACCCGGTAACCGGTCAGGGTGTCACCCGGCCTTGGGACACCCCCTGTTTCTGAACCAGGAAAATAAGGATTCTTTCAGACCCTGTTGTAATTGAGATAGCAAAGGGCGAAAATTGAGGGACTTGAGCTTGTTCAAATTAGATGGGAGTTTTATCCCTAAGTATGTGAAAGCTGACGTCTCCCAGGTAAAAGGGAAATAAGACTTGCAAAAATGAACAGTGTCTTCTGGAAGGGAAATGTTAAGTGCAGAAGATTTTGCTAGGTTGATCTTAAAGGAGGAAATCAAGGAAAAAATCTTGAAAAGCTTTTAAAAAAATTCGGGAGAAATGTAAGCGGTTGGGTCAAGAAGAAAAGAAGATTATCAGCAAAAGCTGCGATCTTGAACTCCTTGTGCGGGGTAGAGAAGCAATGTATATTCAGATCCAGTCGAATTTTACGAAGAAAAGGCTCTAGGGACAAAACAAAAAGCAGAGGGGACAAGGGGCATCCCTGTCTCATGCTTTTCAGACAGAAAAGGTGTCTAACAGAGACCCATTCATCCAGATTCTAGCGAATGGATTCCAGTTCAGCAAAGTAATGCATGCCAGCATATTGGGGCCAAGACCAAGCTGGCCTAAAGAGACAAACATGTAATCCCAGGTTACTCTGTCAAACACCATCCCCATGTCAGTAGGAGGAAACCCGCTACGCCCTTTCTTTGATGCCAACGGTGAAGTTCAAATGCTTTGATAGTGTTACCTCTGCATTCCCTACCAGGAATGAAACCAGTCTGATCAACATATATCGGTTTAGGAAGAAAAAGCAGGAGACGGTCCGCAAGTACTTTCGCTTGTAGTTTCACATTGACGCTCAGTAAAGAGACAGGGCGGTAGGGTTACATAGTATTTGAGGTTGGATAAAGACATTAGTCCATTAGCTCGCGGTATACTGAGCTTAGGGTGACGGGAGGATGCTAGTTTGTGTCCTCCCGTTACCCATAGGAGGACTATGGGGAAAAGCCCTAACCGCATGGTTCTCCTTTAAGTAGTACAGACACCAATATACTCACAATAAGGCCCTATTCATATCTGTAGGTTTAGGTGCGATTAGGGATTCCTGCATCAGAAACGTGCGTTTTCCTGCAGCAGAAATCCCTAATCTGGCGTTTACAAGTGACAGCTGTCACCTATTCAAGTTAATGATCAGGTGATAGCAGCTCCATGTAAACTCCTGCACACCGCATGTTATGGAATGTGATATGATCACCTGCGGTTAGAAAACACTCTCCCTGAATGCACAATCGATGCGTCCAGGGAGAGTGATTGATTCCTAACTGAATGTAAACATATCACGTATCTTTACATGCGGTGTGCAGGCGATTACATGCCTGCACATACCTGATCGGTAACTTAGGTGACAGCTGCCATTTGTAAACGCCAATTTAGGGATTTCTGTTGCAGGAAAACGCAAGTTCCTGACGCAGAAATCCCTAATTGCACCCAAAATAAAGATGTGAATGCAGCCTATTACAATTCTACTCCACCCCCCCACGTAAAAAAATACAACCCCTGTACATATATATATACACACGCACACACACAACCGCAGTCCGTGCCCCCCCAGCTCAGACCTTACGAATCAATTCTTCACAATCCTTTCGGCCAGCGTTCACTGAAAGAGCGCTGGCCGCAAGGATCCGAGTGTCGGCGCAGATTCAGCAACACGGTCTGCATCCGACAGACATGTAGACCATGTCCGCAGCTGCGATCCCTCCTGTCAGCTCTCTCTCCTCCCGGCCGTTCTGTAGCTGCAGCGGCCTGGAGGAGCGGTTACCTACAGGACGGGTGGCAGCGATGGGGACCTCAGCACTGCCTGCCACGATCCCCTC